GAGATTTTAGGGGGGATCAGTGAAAGGATTCTTATGCTACTATAATAATTATTTTTAAAAAGGCATTAAAAAGAGCAGTTCAAAGCTTCCCAAAATTTACATAGAATAAAATCAACATTTGTTCATCTCTTTTAGCTTTTAACTAATCAAATGCATCCATATTCCATTTGCAGATATTGTGTACATTTTTACAGAAGACAAATTGGTTATTTCACTCGTCACTAACTATGCCAAGTATCAAGTCAAGGTCTATGGTTGCTTAAGAGACATGGTGAATAGGCACTGGATGGAAGGAACACATTACTCACACAGAGAACAGAGCAAGGTCAGCTTAAATCGGGGGTGTTGCTTCTCCAATGCCAGCAATCACTCCCCACAGTAGCCAACACAGGGATGACAATCTGCACAGATCCTTGTTGTGTTTCAGAAGACAAACCTTAATCCCTCCTCACCAGGAAGTGATAGCCAGGAATGTTATCATACACACATTTACCCAAGCAGTTTCTGTAAATGTTGACATACTCAGGGAAAGCAGGATGGACCTGAGGATAGGTAGCTAGCTATTATAGGATGTGTTGGGGCCAAGATGCTTTGGAGAAAGAAGTCAGCCCAGACTCATTCTAAGAAACCAGGCTGACATATTTGGCCCTAAGCACAAGGTTCATGTGGGTAGTCCCTTTTACATAGTCTACATCCTGACTCATCCTGGGGCACCCAATAGAAAGAGAAACAATGTGACTAATATTTTTGTAATGCCCAAATGTCTATTCTGAACAGTAAGCTGTTTCTCTGTAACATATAACATGAATGTGCTACTTGTGGACACTGTTTTGGGGACTGAGTTTCTGATTGACTCCTTCAGAGCCTATAATGTAGTGGCATACACCAAGTCTGGTTAGGAAGGACAGCTTTCCCCTTGAAGCTTACCTGATAAAACCTTTGTTTTTAGTGAGATTTTTAGTGAAGCACTAGATGCAATTCCATGTTTTCATGTTTCCACATATTTTTGGTCAAATTTTACAATGGCTTCAAAGCCCTGTCTAAAATCCTACCTCTTCCATGAAGCTTTCCATGGACCTGTACTGCTACAACACTGAGACCACATTTGTTTACGTCATTAATGCCATCATTAAAAATTCGATGTGCAAAAACATTAAGCACCAAGCACTCTACCCACAACACTCTCTGCTTCTCTACTGGGCTCAATAACCCATTGCAATGGCTACACAGAACTCAAAGAAAATACTCACAGTTATGGAGTTTATTAGGAAAATCAACAGGTTACAATTCGGGGTCTGAAATGCTCAGGCACAGTTGTTCTAGTCAGCTGCTGATAAATGCCACAGAACATACCACTTCACCATAAGCCTCAGCCTGAAGTCACCATGGGTCAGCAAACTTAGCTCTCCAGCTTAAGTGATGGAGGCATTCCTCTTGACAAGCAAGCTTCCTGCCCAAAGTCACTCAGCTTTACTTGCTCTGTGGGCTAGGAAGTCCATTACTCTATCTCATGCTCTGGCTCTTGGTTCTGCTGTTGCTGCTCCTCTGCCACTCCTCTGGTGTTTCTGGGTCTAGGAGGCTCAATGTGCAGGGATCTCAGAGTTCAAAAGCATATAGTTGTTATGTGTTCTTGCTGGTTCTCAGTCCACAGAACTTCCTTTAGGATGTTTTACATAGCAGGGTTGACTTTGGCAAAATCCCTTAGCTTCTGCCTATCCTGGAATGTTTTGATTACACCATCATATTTGATTGACAGCTTTGCTGGGTAGAGGATTCTTGGGTGGAAGTTTTTCTCTTTCAGGGTTTTATATATCTCTCCCCATTGCCTTCTTGCCTGCATGGTTTCTGTTGAGAAATCTGAGCTTAATCTGATTTGCTTGCCTTTGTATGTTATATTTCGGTTTTCTCTAGCTGCTTTCAAGATGCTGTCTTTATCTTTGATGTTGGAGAACTTGATTATTATATGTCTTGGTGATTGTCTTTTAGGGTCTATCCATCTTGGGGTTCACTGAGCTTCTTGAATGCTTATCTTTTCACTTTTCATGATGTTAGGAAAATTTTTCTTCCAGAATTTCTTCAACTCTCTCCTCTGTGGGCTTGTGTGATTGTTCCTGTTCTGGAATACCAATGATGCTTATGTTATTCCTCTTCATGTTATCCAACATGAATCTTAGGCCTTCTTCAGATTTTTTTATCCTTTTTTGTATTTGTTCTTCTATCTTAGTAGTGTTGAGAGATTTATCTTCTAGCTCACTAGTTCTAGCTTCTATCTCTTCAATTCTATTCCTTTGCCCTTTCAATGTATTGTCCATTTCTGATATTCTATTATTGATCCTTTGGACCTCTTTCTGTAGGGTTTGAATTGTTTCTAATGTTCTATCTATCTTACTTGATTGTTCCTGTAGCACTTTCCTGACTTCTTCCTTATTTTTCTCAACTGCATTGCATAGTGTTTTGATACCTTTTATAATCCTTTTTAGGCATTCCTTCTCAGGCATTTCCAAAGCCTGCCCATCTTCTAGTATGGAGTGTAGGTCTACTTCCAGCTCATTTACCTCAGTCACTTTATCTCATTTCTGGACATGTGCAGATATGGTCGTCTGCTTCTGGTTTTTGGGCATCTTCAGGAGTTATCTGTGGCCTTAATACTTAGATGGGTGTGTATTTTGGTATTTTTTTATGCTTTCTGAATGCCTCCAGGTAGATGTGATCAGGAAATGGGCTTCCCTTTTCATTCTTCTTCCTGAGAAGTTTCAAGATACCACTGTTGGTTGTTTTGATGTAACTTAGGATTTAATTTTCAGCCTATTTCCTCTTTTGTCTGCTTGTCCCGCTTCACAATCCCCGTTCAGTCCTTTTTTCTAGTTGAAACAGTTCAGGCCGGCTGTGAACGTTTGGTTTTAATTGGAAACTGTCTCTTTAAATTTTAAGGAGATTTGTGCGCATGCGTAGTAGAATCCTCCGAGGGTGGGGCTGGAGTGCCCACTAGCTCAGGCACCCCTATAGTCACCCGAGTAGAGGTGTGCAGATAGCAAGAGACCAGTGAACAGATACCAAAAGAAAAGAATGTCCACACCTTTATCTCAGCGGTTCTGCCAGGCGTCTGTGGCCTCTCGGATCCTTTTCCCACGTGGTCTCACCCAAGATGGCAGCTCCTGGAGCAGCCGAGCATCGTCCTGGACTAGAAAGCAATAGATTTCTTGCTTCTGCCACAAATTCCACCAGCTGTGAGCCTTCCAACCTTCTCAGTATTCCTTTATATGTGATTCAGAGTTCTGGGACCATCCCCTGAGTCTGCTTGGTCGGGTATTCTGTGTTGTTATTGGCAGAGCTCTCTGCTATACGGCCACCCGATCCGCCGTCTTGTTTGTTCCGAGGCTGTAAATCTTTACAGAAGCAGATCTCCTCATCTTTCTCCCATGGAACCACTGGTAGTTTCAAACTGCTGACCTTGAGGTTGGCAGCCCGACTCGTAACCACTACCCTAACAGAGCTCCTTACATACAAGCTCCAAACATATAAGACTAAATTAGGGAACCAGATATATCGTTTTATAATGAAGTCAACTTCAGAGCAAAAAGAGGAAATAATGTAGACATAGAACTTTCAAATGGGCAAGGAAGTCAAGTAGATAAAACAGACCATTTTAAATGGGTAAAAAAATTAATGAATTACAGGGTAACCTCAAAGGAAATTAATTTACATTCACATCAAGATAAACAAGAGGAAAAGTCAGAAAAATTTAATAAACATTAACCCAACAGAAATGAAAATGAAAAGAAAACTCAAAATGTATTCAGCAGAGAAAATTATGTGGAAAAGAACCAGTGGATGAAACTGGAGCACATTATACTGAGTAAAATGAGTCAATCCCAAAACGACAAATAGGTTTTCTTGAAAAAAAACATTCTATGACGGTTACGAGGGGGAAGGGTGAGGGGGCTAAATTATTCACTGTGTAAGTGATGGTACATTGAGGGGACTGCAATCACTGTAATGAAGCAAAGTATATACAATTTTGAATGTAAAATTGATGAACTGCTCTGTAAACCTTCACTCAATTCACAATATAAAGCTTTTAAAAAATTTACTCAAAACTAAATTGATATTCAACTTAATAAACTAAAACACAGACGAAAATTGTGGTATATGCTGAACGTTCATCAAATAAAAGCATCAAACCTCCTTTTGCTGCCTTAGGATACAGCTTTATGATACTACACAATGAGCTGATTTAGTGGATTAAGAGCAACAACAATAACAATAAAAACCCATAAAAGTCCAATGGAAATACCCATACTATCAATTATTCCTTGTGCTATCACTCTGAGCCTCACACTGTGCTTCACTCACACTGTAATCAACATCCCCATTGTATTAATCAGGAAATGGAGGCTTCTGGATATGGTGACATCTCTCCGTAGTGAAGAAGAAATTGAGGCATTTGTTGACTTAAAGAAGGAATCTTAGGATGGGCTAACTTTGGACATCTTTTTAGCAGGCTGACTAGACCACTTTCCCATCCAATATAAAACCCCTTTTAATAGTAACCCTGACAAATGATACAAGAATCATATGTTTTTATGTTTCAAACAAAAATGAACTTGATTTACTGTGCAGAATCTTATAAAAACCAGAAATCTGTATGTCTTTTTGTAGGTAATTCATAATAGATATTAGTCTTCTTTGGAATTAAAATGTAAACAAAAATGATTTTAAATATTCAGGTTTTAATAGGTCACATTAATACTTGCAAATCAGTATGTTTCGTATTGTGGATCTATAAAGAACTACTATAATTACTATTTTGTAGTCTCTAGAAAATGCTCAATATTTGAGCTTCCCTACATTGCATGCCATAAAATACACTTTATTGCATTAAAAACTGACCACTTGCCATGTACCTTTTAACTCCCTTACAGTTCTGAAAATACTGAAGCAATTTTCTGATATATGTCCAGGTCATATAGCGAGAATATGAAAAATGAAAACTATCTTACCAAAGTCTGCAAATGCTGACTGTCCAACCATCATCATATTTGAAGGTTTTTCAAGAATACTACTGACAGAGAAATTGCCATCCTGTTAAACACAGAAAAATTTGGATTAGACCATCAAAATCCACTCATCTGTCAATTACAGAACAAAGTATAATAAATGAAGCAGGGAAATAAGTAATGAAAAGCCTTGGTGTACTGCAGACATTTATTCTAACCGTCTATTCCACTCTTATCATAAACAAACTGCTTTGAGGTGATGAAGATGAGCATTTGGATCTTTCTTCCTGTCAATTCTGGTATGAAATTTTTTATAAAATCACCATTATATTTTTAGACCTACTGAGTGTCTTCTACTTTAAGGTACTATGGGAGGCTTGGGAATGTCAAATAAGAAATATAGTTTCTAATTTCAATGAGGAAGAATTCATTTGGGAGACAGTATATGTCAAGACTCCTAGTGAAGGGCTATAAGATCAGCACTGGATTGTGACCCACAAGATCAGCAGTTCAAACCCAGCAGGTGCTCCTTTGAAACCCTATACAGGGTAGCTATGAGTCAGAACTGACTCAGCAGCACTTAACAACAACATATAATCCAGGAAGGCATAATTTCTGAAGGCAACATTTAAGTGGCACAAGTAAGTAGCATAAACACTGTGTTTTATGGATTTCAAGAAAAAAGGCGCTGTGCTGGGGACAATTAAGAAGCGGTGTCAAAATACAGTAAGAATTATACTTATCCTTAGAGGTTCAATTGCTTTTCAAGTCAATTTTATGTATCAATGAGAAGAGAAGCAAAGGATGACAACAGCTGCTACCCAGTAACTAGAGGAAACAAACTTACACAGAAAACGTGAACCCACTTAATCTTTCTAAAACAGAACAATATACATTTTGACTTCCAAAAATAATATGCATTAATTTATTATCTTTTCTTTTCTTATTTTAGATTATTTCACACAAAAATATAAGCCCAAACAATGCACTCAAGAGTTCTGAGCTCCCAATTTTACACATAACTCTGTTTTCATACCTAACTCTATTCATGGTTTGAGATATTAACGCTGATTCCTACATAATGATATACTTATAAGTTATTTTTTCCCTTTTTGGTTCCTCTGTAAGTCAAGTTTTCGAGAAATAATTTTTGACCTTTATAGAGAAAGGCATTGGTACAATCAAAGCACAAATACCAAATGCTTGGGGACCATGAGTAAGTGAATATGATGTGCCTTCTGACAGGCAATTTTCCAAGCATTTAAATACTCCATTATCCACTTGGCAAAACATGTTTCTCCTACCATCACTAAAGCACTTTCTGTGCTAGTCATACGATTTTTCTATAGAGGTTTTATTCATAAACATTAGGGTTTTTGTCTGGACTTGCCTAACATCTGACATTACACTAGAGAAATTAAATCTAAGTTCCAAATTGCTGGATGAAATATATTTGCCTAAAACGCAAAAGCACATGACTGAAGTGTCAAATGCTTTAGGATTTTAGAAAGGTCACAGCATTGGGAACTGAGAGGACACAATGTTTCCTGAATGAATAGTAAAATTTTCTCTTAAAGTATATCAAAATCATGAGATAAATAATCCTGAATACCAATCCATTATACTGATTGAACTAAGTGAAGTACCCCACTGAAAGTCAGGAACGCCGGGCAAGGAATTTTGAAATATAAACTTATCTAGAAATGTTTCTCTATATGATCTCACAATAAACCTCCATCTAGAAACATTGATACTGGTGTCAGGTGACAGGCTGTCATGTGTAAGACCCACATTTACAGTGCGCATCAACATAAGAACAATATGCTCTTCTATTTGCTGCTATTGTTGTTAAGTGCAGCTGAGTTGGGAGCTAGGAACATGTAGGGTATATTTTGTATATGATAGAATTAGGGGAAAGGATAGTACTTTACTTACATGAATTTAATTTCCCATCATCATTACTTGTTCTTTACTTGGCAGTACAAATCTATGAAACTTAACTTCCATTCATATTAGTCTTTTTCGTATACTATCTAATAAACATAATTCAACAAACTGCATCATTATGTTACTCTCATTACATAACACTTTAAAAAATGGATTACATTTATTTTCAAAGATGAAGCTGCCAAGTAGCTATTTAATGTAGGAAAGAAGACTATGTAATCAATACTCTTTTTTCATTTGGAACTACTAGTATACTAAGACAGCTGAATAGTCTAGTTGAAATAGCACTAGCTTTGGAGTTAGATGACAGGAGTCCAGTCCTGTTTTCAAGGATGAGTTGTGTTACTTTGGGCCTCTGAGTCATGGATCTTCCATCGTCAGAAAGAGATAATCTTCCTGCCCGCTAACAGGGTACTTGAGAGGATGAAATGGAATGTGTAAAGTCACCTATAAGGTACTCTTATAAGGGATATACTGTGTTTAGCCATAGGATACTTTTTGGGACTCATCCATTCCACTGTTTGCCCCTCTCTTTTATCACACTATTCTTATAGGCCTTCATTGTTTCCCTGCAATGCAAAGCAGGGCCAACACACTAAGAATTTTATGGAAGCTATGTCTTTACTTTTTCATCTACTTGGTTTCTAGAATTATTGAGTATAAGTCTAAGAGAAAGATTTCCTACTGCAACTCCCAGTGTCTCTATTTGCTAGCCTGAGGCCCTGAATGAAGTTAGTTCTCCTTTAAGCATCAGATTACCGAACAGTTTCACATCCAAATGAAACAACTTGCTTTTTTATAAGATTTTAAAAAATATTATTTTAAGTGTTTAAAATTTTTTCATTACATGTTTAGCACAGTACCTAGAACTCACTAACATTCGTTATTAGTAGTCGGAACAGACGTAACAATATGACTAATTCTGCAATTCTGCTACAACAATTACTTCAACCACTGAGGCACCTACCTGCCATATCGACAGGAAAGACATTTTGTCATTTTCTACTTGAATTCCAAACAAAAGTGCTATGTGGTAGCAAGTATCTGTTCTTGGATGACTACATTTTGACATGCATGTTTTAATATTTAATGTTAAGATCACCATATTAATAATGTTTAAAAGGGTGAGATTTCCAGCAAGATGGTGGAATAGGCAGACAGACAATACAGACTCTCTACAACAAAGATGTGAAAGACAAAATGAAGCAGAGACAGATGAGAATTCTGACACACTGCACCTCAGAAGAATGGTTAGAGACATGGATGGAGTGCTTGCTGGGAGGAAAGGCTGAACAGGGAAAGCAAGAGAGGGAGACTGACTGGTGAATGGCTGGCCACACACAGCTCCACCATCTTGTGAGCAGCTTCAGCAGTGGAGGGAGGCCTGGCAGAGCAGATCTGCATAGGGGGACTGAGAAGGTGTAATCTCTTTTTCCTCCACACTACCCTGCTGATCAGAAGTGTGGCCAGCTCCAACCCTCATTCACCCCTAGTGTAGCTCCTGTTCTAGAAAGTTCTGAGCCACGTGGCTGGGAGCCATGCCAGTGTGAAGTGGGACCAGATGCATTGCTTTGGTGTGCCGTTTTGGTGCCTGGATTCAGGTGGAGATGGCTTCAAAATCTGCTGAGCCATCAGACCAGTATTTAAATAGTCATGCTGCCCGCCCCTCCCACTTCCCTGTGGTGCTAACAGACACGAAAACCAGCACCATCAAGGGCCCCCATGAACTACTTCTGGAATAAGTGTCCTGAACATAGCTAGCACTGAGGCGGATATGAACTCCATCTAGGGCCAGGAACTCTGCTCTCACATCCTTTCCATAGGCACCTCATGAGCTGCTTGAATTGCCAAAGCTCCCAGAGATTTCTTCTCTCTGGGCCCAATAACTTTACCACTTGTTTTTATGAATAAGAAAACTCCACAAGGCCCCACAGACAAAAAACGATTTTAGTTCCTAAAAAGAAACAAGTGAGAATGGTTCAAACAAATGACCAAGATGCAGAGTCAGAAAACAATTCTGAGGAATAGAAGTAATGGAACTAACTGAAAAAAAAAAATTCAATAGAATGATAAATAGGTACCTTCAAAGGATGGACAGAGAGAGCCAAGAAAACAAGAACACAATAAAAACTTTAGGAGAATTAAGGAAAACACAATAACAGCTATAACAGACAAAATAAATGCAAATTTTGAAACAATATAAAACCTGAAGTTAGAAATCCAGAAAATTAATACTAAGATGTTAGAAATGGACATCAAAAGCACAAAGGAGTATATGTAAATCAATGGAATAAGTGAACTTGAAGATAAATCTCTCAATACTAACATGCTAGAAGAACAATAAGAAAAAAGAATTTAAAAATTTGAAGAAAGACTAATATGCCATGAAGAGAAGCAACTTATGGGTTAGAAATCCAGAAAAGAAAGAGACAAGCATAGAGAAAATTGTTGAAGAGTTGGAAAAAAATTTCCCTAACATTATGAAAGATGAGAAGATAAGCATACAAGAAGCTAAACGAACCCTTAACCAGGGCAGATCCCAAAAGACAATCACCAAGATATCATAACCAAACTTTCCAAAATCAAATACATGGAAAGAATCCTGAAAACAGCTCAGGAAAAATGAAAAGTTACCTACAAAGGAGTACCAATAAGACTAAACTCTGATTTTTCAGCAGAAACTACACAGGCAAGAAGGCAATGGAATGACATTATATAAAGCTCTGTAAAACAAAGATTGCCAACTAAGAATTATATACCAAAAAAAACTGTCTGTCAAATATGAAAGTGAAATTAGGACATTTCCTGATAATCATAAATTAAAGGAATTTGTAATGACCAGACCAACTTTACAAAAAATGCTAAAGGGTGTTCTGTGGATTGAGAATCAACAACAGCAGACAACAACCTGAAATTAACATACTTGACAACACCACTCAGAACTCAATGTAGATATAGGAGGATTTAAAGTAAAACCAACCTACAAGCCTGACTAGAGATAACAAGGTATAATGAGGGTAACCTCAGAGAAAAATAATACACCTGCACATCAAAATAAAAAAGATTTAGTAAACATTGTTGTTGCTATTAAGTACTGTTGAGTTGGTTCTGACTCATAGAGCTCTTGTATAGGTTTCTGAGAAGTGGCTGGTGGGTTTGAACCACCATGTGGTGGTTCAAACATACCTTGAGGTCTAGTGCTTACCCTACAGTGCCACACCAGGACTCCATACCTAGGCGTATTATAAACTTAAGGTTTCATAATTTTATTTACATAGTCTGCTTATTTGTAATAAGGCTTTTAATCCATGATGGACACTAGCTGATCAGGTATATATCAAATTTTATAATTCCTCAGGATGGGAATAAAAATTCATCTGCAAACAAATGAACATATCCTAGAAGTGGGAGACATCTATATAATTTTTTAGAAAGCCATATATTAAACAAAAATAAATTGTTTAGTGCATTGTTGAGCTATCAATTTCTTTCCTTACCCCATTATAAAAAAGATCCAATTACTTTGTACAAAAGTACCTAGTAATGATTATGTGATTTGATCTTCATCAGTATTTTAATAAATATCTATAAAAGGTTATGGCTTGATTTGAATAAAAGCAATAAAGAGTTAACTGATGGTAAATAAAGAAGAGATCATTTAACATTTGATAACTGTCAGCTGTGTACCTGACACTTTACTATATTCTTTCTTTTAACCTTCACAAACACTGGACAATGGATAGATTATTATACTCATTTTGCAAATGACGAAGGTGAATTTTAATACTTGAATATTGTATCATTTCACTGAGTCAGCCAAGTTTGTCTGCTCTCAGATCTTGCCCACTATGCAGCCTAAAATTCAATTAATTTCATTAATCAATCTCTCATATAATTTATATCAAGCTAAAAAGAACAGAAAAGGAAATACAGTAACAATTTGGGAGTCTTCTACTACTAGTTTAAAAAAATATATAGATATTGGGAAAGACTCCTTAGTCGTGGTCAAGTTGGCAGTAAGTTGAGTGTCTATTACACTTATTTCTTTATATAACCTGAAGGCAAAGAAGAAAAATTACTCTTTTAAAATGCTTTTTCTTCATAAACCATCATGCTGACACTTTAAATGACAGTAACCTTGCTGAACAGCGGACAGCCTAGCAGGGGTCCTGTTAACATATGCATTAGGGCAGACTGATTGGTTTAATTGGCAGTCATGCCTAAAAACCTGCAGAGGAATTGATGCTAAATGAATCATTTCCTTCAGCAATATTCAGCAGTTTGAATGCAGCAATGAAACCAAAGGCTCTTAAAGTTGTTCTACTTATTGTTGAAATCAACAGACCAAGTGATTACTTTGATTTTATGTTTTCTAAACTTGTGTGCATTTACTGAAAGTCATCTTTTAAAAATGCTTCAAAGAAAAGATTTCTTACCAAATTTTCCCATATCTCAAAGTGGAAGATACCAGAGTCAGACAGTGTAGTTAGAAATAAATCTAAAAGGAAAAGAACAGACATTTATAATTTGTAATCATTCGGATGTGTACATTCATTTTTAAAAAGAAATGTAATATGTTAAGTAATTATTAACAAAATTCTACTTAATCTATTTCAAATTATAGTTAACAGACTTGATTCATCAAAGAGACTGCAGATGATTTTATATTAATACTGCTTAGGAAAGTTTATTTAAAGTACACTTTTGGAATTAGTCCTTCAAACATTACTTATTATCAAGAACAATTATGCATTCTACTTTTTTATAATATACAATTTGAAAGTAGACTCTATGTTTTAAAGAGATATTCTGATTATAGCCAAATTTTGCTTTCTTACCCTAAAGCAAACACTTGTCTATATATCAAAGTGAGATTAGAGCATTATTTTAAATTACTGCATTACAGTATCCAAAACATTCCTGGTAAAGGAGTAAAATATTATATTTCAAAATCTGAATAATTTAATTGTCTTCATGATAAATTACAATGAAAGCAAGTTTTATTGGAAAACCTAAGAATTTTAATAAAGTTTTTGGAGAAACAACAGGTAACAGATTAAACAAAGAGGGTTTATCACCAGGCTGATAACTGCACAGTGTGCAGTTCAAACCTATCAGCCAGTCCATGGAAGAAGGATAGGGCTGTTTGCTCCCAGAATGATTTACAATCTCAGAAACCCTGTATAGGGTTGCTATCTATCTGAATCGACTCAATAGTAGTGGGTTTGGCTTATTAAGGAAAAGGCCCACTGAACTACAAATCTTTTCTAGTAGAGGCATTGATTATAATGACTGAAAAATGTCAACTTTATTTAGCAAACATGATGTTAAAGTGCTGTTGAGTCAATTCCAATTCATTGCTGAGGAGCGCTGGTGAATTTGAACTGTTGACCTGTGGTTCAAACTGACCTTGCATTCTGAGTGCTTATCCTACAGTGTGAACTACACATATGTGAAGTCTTTAAATAATGGGTTGTCTCAAATGAGCATTAAAATGACATTAAAATTTTATGTTCTAAAAATTGAAATTATTGAAGATGATGTGAAGACCATCACAGTATTACAGAAAATATTTTTTCTTCACATATTAAATATGTTTGTTGTTGTTGTTGTTGTCAGGTGCCATTGAGTCGGAACCGACTCATAGCAACCCCATGCACAGCAGAACGAAACAATGTTCGATCCTGAGCCAACCTCACTACCGCTGCCACACTTGAGTCCATCAATGATGCCACCTGGCTGATCCATCTCGTTGGGGGTCTTCCTCTTTTTCTCTGACCCTCCACCCTACCCAGCATGACATCCTTCTCCAGCGATTGTTTCCTCCGGACAATATGTCCAAAGTAGGAGAGACGAAGCTTAGCCATCCTGGCCTCCAAGGAGCACTCTGGCTGCACTTCTTCCAGAACAGATTTATTGGTTCTTTTGGCAGTCCATGGCACTTTCAGTATTCTCCTCCAACACCACAACTCAAAGGCATCAATTCTTCTACTATCCTCCTTATTCACTGTCCAGCTTTCGCATCCATATGAGGCTATTGAAAACACAATGGCCTGGGTCAGGCGCACCCTAGTCCTCAAGCTGACATCTCTGCTCTTCAACACTTTAAAAAGTTCCTGTGCAGCAGATTTGCCCAATGCAATATGTCATCTGATCTCTTGACTGCTGCTTCCGTGAGTGTTGATAGTTCATCCAAGAAGAATGAAGTCCTTGACAACTTCAATCTTTTCTCCATTGATAAGAATGTTGTTTATTGGTCCAGTGGTGAGGATTTTTGTTTTCTTGACATTGAGATGTAAATATGTTTAGGAAACTATTTTAATGTGTTCTTTATAAAGGGATCACATGAGTTTAAATAATAATAATTATAATAATAAAGATTTTCACAGACTCCCCAGAAAGCTAAGTAATTTATTTACATTTTTAATTAGCTAAACTCAAAAACCATGACTCAGAGTAAGTAAAGCCATTCCTGATGTCAAAACAGCAAATGCTTCTGCATTAGTTTTCACTGCAGTGAAGATACTTCACTTAGGCCTATAAAATTATAGTCGTATATGAAGATGATTTCTTTACTCTGTCACATATATACTCCCAATGAAGTGTTTGCTTCCACATTTACCTGAGAGATGTGTGATGATGAACTTATTGCTGATACTCTCTCCTAAGTCTCCATGTATCTTCCACATTGCTCTTAATATGATTTTTTAAAACTTCCACATTTGATCTAATTCCTTCTCTTACAGGATGCCAAGCAAGTGTTGTAGTTTGCCATGTGAAGGCCTCCCTACCTATGGTTCCAGGCTCATTTCCACCACTCCCTCACAAGCAGCTTGTACTACAGACATGGTAGTCACCTGATTTTATCATGCAAGGGAGCTTCAAACCGTTCATGGAAATTTTCTCTTATCTTTTAATTCCAATTTTCCCACCAATTTTTGAGGCACTCTCATTTTGTTTCATATCTATTTGCCTGCATACATGCCATCCTTTCTCTCTGCAGTGCCCTTCTATCTCACAGTCTTCTGATAAATGAATTCTTCAAAATATACTCAAATGTCCATGAGGCACAGCTTTCCCTCCACAGCTATTCCACTATGATAGCTCTATTGTTGTGGTTTTTACAATGCCCCATGATAATCTGGCTTCACACCCTCTTTCTTAAGACTCTTGAGAGCAGGAGTTATGTCTAAGTGATTTTTTATATCCCAGTGATTCCTATGTGCTTGGAAATAGCATGTGTTACAAAGAAAAAAGATTGTTCAACAACTAAATGACACATAATATACGTATATTGTGGTTCTTGTAAATTTGCTTGGACAGTATGAAGATAGTTACTCTATTGCATCTTTAAATGGAAAGTCTTGAATAAAAAAAGTAGGGTCTTTTCTTAAAGTATTTCAATAAAAATACATATGACTGGCAACAGTGACTATTGTACTAAGAATCTTAAAAGCTGTTATAATTTTATGTTATCTGCAAATATAGATACTTAGTATAAGAAAGTGATTAAAGATGGAGAATAACAGAGGGGTTTTTAAGAATCACTAACAGAAGAGTGTCAATGAAAACTCTGAGCTATTTGAGAACTCTTCCCTGTGGCTCAATTTTCAGTCAAATGTAGACAGACACTAATAATAGGGAGGCATGCGCTCCTTAGAGTTATCAACCATTTGAAATAATAAGTGCAACATTTTCCCAAGAACAAAGTTCAATCAAGAACAAAGTTCAAAAGATAATGGTTTGAATCTGTCTAGGAGGGGCTGATGAAAGGAAATGCTGATAGGTCTCTTGTGATACAATAGTGAATAATTGTTATCAGGACTGACTGTGAGGGTTGGAAATGTAAAGGTAGACGTTTTGCAGCGAGGAGGGGAGTGATTAACTTTGCAGTCTAGGAGCAGAGGTCCCTGGGACCATCAAGGGAGAAGAGTGGAGAGCGGGACCCTACCCAGAGAAGCAGTGATGCCAGAGATGGAGGCAGAGACGATGACGTGGAGAGATGGAGCGGCTGGAGACTTTAGACCCAGAGAGGGAGAGGGGCTGTGTGCTGATGAACAGGGGTGCAGGCTTGTAGGGTACAGCCTTTGGTTGGCTGATGATGCATGGAGGGGACTGTAACCAAGGCATAAGGAGTGAGTGGAATAAGCAATGTTTCCTTGTGGGGACTGTAGTCAATGAAAAGAAAATGTGTATTAGTTGTTGGACAACTGATCTGTTCTGTAAACCTTCACCCAATTTATAATAAAAAGAAAAAAAAAAGCTAGTCTTTTTTTTTTTTTTTTAAAAAGAGAGAGAGAATGGTTTGGAAGCAGGAAAACCATGGATGAAGTGGAACAAGTTATGTAAGACTGAGGAGATTGTAATCAATGACATGTAACAAAATGCCTATGAACAGATGAATACAGAATCAATTTGCTTTGCAAACCTGCACTCAATTCACAATAAAATTATTAAGGAAGCAGAAAAAAGAAAAAAGAAAAAAGAAAAAAAAAAGCTATGAGCTATTTGGGGGGAAAAAGTAAACTAAAAAAGGGACATCCTGTAACAGCTGCTTTTTTCCAAATTGAAACATCAAATTCTTAAAACTCTACCCAGTTGAGAATAAATGATAAATGAGGGGCATCTTACTTATAAGAGAGCAAAGACTCAATGCCTTACATCTGTTAATTTCAAAGAACTGGAAGAACTAGTCTGTTAAAACATAGTTAGAGTGAGTAGTAATGGATACTAGCATTGTAATCCCATTTCTGGTAAAATAACTCAACCTGTCTTTTTATTTGCATGAAAAATAATAAATTATGAGCATCCTATTATTTCATGCATACTTAGAAAATTTAGGAACTGTAACAAACTATTGATTTCCATTCTCATGGCTTTACTTGTTATTCACTAAGAGACTCTGAAAAATAGTAAACTCGAAGAGGGATTGGAAGTACCTTATAAAACAGATTTTAAAAAGCCTCATATTCACTACTAAATTCTGTAAAGAGGTTACAGGAAAACAAATTATTTATAATATGGAGAAATAAAAGAGAATTATTAATAATTCAATCATTAAAACTCTCTGAATGAAATGATAATGAAATAACTGTTAGAACTTTTAGTAAACAAAGCAATAATGTTCTCACCCTCCTACACTACTAAGAATAATTCACACAATAAAAGCAAATGTGCTCAATGAAATTATTATGGATACTGAGATATGTCACTGAGACCTCTCTTTAAGAATGAAGGACTTACTCCCTCAGGTGCTAAAAACAGTGCTGGGAGATATTCCTCAGTGAGTAATTAGGAATAGTAAACAGTTACTTTGTCAAAGGTTTTGTTTCTTACTATGGTATTTGGTATCCAATAATGGGACAATTCAGTGACAAAGATTAAACCCCCTCTAAACACAGGGCAGCTTTGTAGGGCCAGTCCTTATTCAGTTTCCCAG